GCAAAGATGTGCACACCTAAAGCCATATATATACTACACTTGCATAAATCTATTGGTCATTACATTTCTCTTCAAATCCTTTCGGCCATATATATTTATTAAGTGTTGAGGAGAGAATGATCCTACACTTAAACACCATTTCAAGTCATAGTTAAGAGAGAGTGAAAGTTTAGTCAAGCAGCAAGGAGAAGCTATCGCATGCCCGAAGGTTCGGTTGAGCGCAAGCTCTAGGAGCTTTTCCCGAGCAAGTGAAGAGTTTGATCAGGATACGATATCAGCGCTGCCTTTTCATTTTGACGGATCAGGTGGGGACTCAGACTGGGTATTACATTGATTATAATTACTCTACCATGTTTGAGATATGTATTATCATGTCAGTATCTGCTCGGAATGGTCGCCGGTCCATTCTGGGTTCTAGTGGTCTTAATCTGCCCACTAGAGTGTGCACATGGTGTCCGGCATTTTTATGCTGGCAGATGTTCAGATATCAGTCAGGTGATGATGATCAGATCATGATTATTCAGTATCAGTTCATGCTTATTCAGTATCGGTTTCAGTTCAGTTATATATGCCAGGATCATGATATTGTTATTATTTTCACTGTTTACTTTAGTATGTGTTTCTGCGGAGCACAGTAGATTTAGTGCTCACGCCCCCACATTATTCATTTTTTCAGGTTACAGGGTCGGAGCCGAGGAGTGAGCGGGCGGTCGGTTCAGGATTTTGGTTATATGTTTAAAATGTTTTGGCTACGCTACGTTTTTTCGCTGATTACGACTGTTTGCCAAACTTAGCTTTTGATCCGATTTTCAGTCGGTTAATATGTTATGATAAACCATTTTGTTTTTCTTTAAAACTAAAATAACGGTTTTCAGGTAAAGTCACGTATTATGGTAGCACTCCGAATCAGTATTTCGCAACGTAAATATTTTTATTTTGAAAAACTTTGCGAAAAACGCACTCTGATTTTCATGAAATAGCGGGCTGTTACATTTTTACCTTTGAGAATTGATTGGGAAAACACTGACTTAATCTTTGGAGACTATTCACCGAAAAACACCTTCGGTGTGAGAGTTTATTGTAGGTGCGTGACGTTCAACCGGCGAGAAGGAAGGCGATCACTCAGGTTCTCGTCGGTCAGAAAGTTTTACGTTACCAAGTTCTCTGTTCTTGGACTAGTTTGCAAGCACTAAGAAGCATGAGAAGACGTATCTCTTGCTAATCAATTTGCAGCACGAAGGGGAGACTTTGCTGCAGTATGTGGCACGATACACTAGGGAGTGTGTGGAGGTTCCCTTTGCCTCATCAGAGATTATAACTGGAGGTCTCACGCGGGGTTCAGGCCTGGGAAATACAGGGATTCGTTGGCAAAGAGGCCGACGAGGTCGTTCGACGAACTACTTGCGAGGTGTAGTAAGTATGTGAATATGGAGGAAGCGGAAGCTGATTTCATCCTGAATGACAAGAGAAAGGCGAAGCAGGTGGAAGAGTGTAGTTCCCCCATTCGCTTTTATATGAGTTGTTGTATTATTCCTCACTTTTTACATTATTATTTACTTTGTGTTATTTTAATGTATTGCTCGACATATCTCATTCAGACTTATTAGAATTTATTAGATATTCTAGTCTAATTAATTTAATAAGTCATATAATTCTATTATTTTGTTCGTTGTCAATCGGTTAGTAATTCGATAATCCCTCGGTATTATTCACGTTGCTATTAAACGAACCATTTTTCCAAACAAGTCTTGGGTTTTAAACTCGGCCCTTTTAACTAAATTTTCTGGCCCGATTAAAGTAGATTATTCGGCCTTCATGTCAATATTTTGCAGCTCAAATATTATAATTACGGCCCTTTTAATTGTGTATTTTTGGCCCGTTTAGAAGAGCAATTTAGCCTCTTGAGTAATTATATTTTGGCCCAATTAAAGTTGCATCCTTGGCCCATTGGAGTAAAATTTTTACACCCTTTTTTTTTCGTCTCCTCACGTGTGGCGACATAGTCTTCTCCCTCATCACCGTTCGAATTATTGTTGCGATTTTCAGCGAAATTTTCATTTCACTGTCGCCTCACTCTCTTATGTATAGCGACAGAAGTTGACCTCCCTCATTCGTCATCAATTTGGCCGTTTGAAATCGCAGCAATTTCTGTTTCAAAAAATAAAAAAGATTGTCACCTGTATTTTTTGTTCGCACCTTCATGACGTTCGGCGAGCCCACCTCTGAGCAGCTTGGCCGTCGACGACCACCATACTGTCGAGCGGGGAGCCTTCAGTCCGAGCCTGGTTGCCGCGACCCGCACATCACCGACGAGAGCTCGCAGCCGTGCCGTCAGCTTTTCCGGCGAGCCCATCCTCACCCAAGCAAACGCCCGACGTCCACCTTGCCATCGCCGACGAGGACCTCAGTCTGTGAGACTGTTGTTGTTCGTTGTCAGCTTTCCGTTCGTCGACCCTCGTATACAATAGGATTTATGGCTACACAGAGCCATTTGCCAGAAGCACTTTCGAGAAGTTCCGAGTTCCGTCGCCTGGTCGTCCCATTCGTTTCGTTCGATTTTCAACCGAGCACGTAAATTCTAGAAGTTAGGAAATCGGCGAACCTTGTTATTTTGTTTCTCATGCTCGTATTTATCGTTGAAGTGCTATTGTCGTTGTAGTCAGTTTTGCCTTCGATTCATTTTATTTGTTCAATTGGTGTTCGTGAATTTTCATGGATAATCGAAACTCTCGTTTTGTGAAAATTGAGCCTCTCATTAGGTATATTTGTTATTGTGGTTATTGAGCATGTGGAACTCATTTTGTTTTCAAGCCTTGGTTGTTTCCTGAACCGTCACTGTGTTGACGTCCGTTTATTCGTTCGAGCCTAAAAAACTGTCGTTTCATTTTCGGCGCCACAACTCGATTTTTTTTTTTATATAAATTTTGAAACTCTGGAAACCATTAAACCTTATTTTGGAAATGTTCATAAGAATTTCTCGAACAGCCGTGAGAAACCGTCGTTGAGTTATAGTCGCCGAAAAATATTTTTCCCTCGGTCCGGCGTCGAGTTATAGCTCGGCACCGCGTGACAACTAAACGCGGCAACTCGGCGGGTCCGGCGACAACTCGGCGTGGCAGCTCACGGCAGGTCGCCATCCGTCGCGTGTTGGGTCTAGCACCTCGTCGTAGCTCGCCAACTCGTGGCATCTCGGCACCACGCGACACCTCAACGCCACAGCTCGGAAGATTTGCGTCAGCTCGGCGGCGTTGGCTAGCAGCTCGGCATATCGGCACCCCAGCGTAGGAGCTCGTCGTGTCGCGCGTTGGCATTCACCTCAGCATAGGAGAGTTTAGCTCTGCGCGTAGTTGTGCTGGGGGGTACATCGGGTAAATCGCT